GGGCAGACACAGAATCGGTCTGCTCCTGTCCTGTGGAGAAACTGAATTCCGAGTCATCCTAGAAGAGCCACTGTACTCAGAGCAGCCGGTAAGAACTCCATCTCACTCCCTAAGCCCCAGAGATATCTGGGAGCCAGGGACATTCAGGACACAGCAGCTACCCAAACCCCGCCCCTCCAGAATTCCACTTCCCTTCCGCCCCTGCCTGGTACTTTGGGCTGGAGCAGACACAGAGTCGGTCTGCTCCTGTCCTGTGGAGAAACTGAATCCTGAGTCATTGAGGAGCCACTGCACTCAGAGCAGCCGAGGAGCCACTGCACTCAGAGCAGAAGGATTTCCAGATCCAAGAGGTGGCCTGAGTCCCAGGAGTTCTTCCACCCAGGAGATTAGGAGCATAAGACCACAGAGACATCTGGACTCCGAGGAGCTCTGCAATAAGCAAGATAACTGGAAATACAGACTCCAGTCTTACACAGTGAGGGCAGGTACCACTAGAGTTAACCAGATGGCGAAAGGCAAGCGCAAGAACATAAGCAACAGAAACCAAAGTTTCTTGGCATCATCAGTACCCAGTTCTCCCAATATAGCAAGCCCTGAACACCCCATCACACCTGAAAAGCAGGATTCAGAATTAAAATCACTTCTCATGATGATGATAGAGGATTATAAGAAGGAATTAAGTAACTCCCTTAAAGAAATACAGGAGAGTACAAGTAAACAGATAGAAGCCCTTAAAGAGGAATCACAGAAATCCCTTAAAGAAATGCAAGAAAACATAAAGAAGGAATTAAACAAAAACATTCAGGATCTGAAACTGGAAATAGAAACAATAAAGAAAGTTCAAAGGGAGACAACCATGGAGATAGAAAACCTAAGAAAGAGATCAGGAGTCATAGACGCAAGCATCACCAACCGAATACAAGAGATAGAAGAGAGAATCTCAAATGCAGAAGATACGGTGGAAAATATTGACACAGTTGTCAAAGAAAATGCAAAATGCAAAAAACTCCTAACTCAAAACATCCAGGAAATCCAGGACACACTGAGAAGACCAAACCTAAGGATAATAGGTATAGATGAGAATGAAGATTCCCAACTTAAAGGGCCAGTAAATATCTTCAAAAAATTATTGAGGAAAACTTCCCTAACCTAAAGAACAAGATGCCCATAAACATACAAGAAGCCTACAGAACACCAAATAGACTAGACCAGAAAAGAAATACCTCCCGTCACATAATAATCAAAACATTAGATGCACAAAACAAAGAAAAAATACTAAAAGCAGTAAGGGAAAAAGGTCAAGTAACATATAAAGGCAGACCTATAAGAATTACACCAGACTTCTCACCAGAGACTATAAAAGCCAGAAGAGCCTGGACTGACATCATACAGACCCTAAGAGAACACAATTGCCAGCCCAGATTACTATACCCAGCAAAACTCTCAATCACTATAGATGGTGAAACCAAGATATTCCATGACAAAACCAAATTTGCACAATATCTTCCCACAAACCCAGCACTTCAAAGGATAATTGATGGAAAACGCCAACACAAGGAGGGAAACTACAACCTAGAAAAAGCAAGGAAGTAATCTTCCAACAACCCCAAAAGAAGATAACTATACAAACATAACTTTACCTCTAATAACAAAAATAACAGGAAGCCACAATCATTTTTCCTTAATATCTCTTAACATCAATGGTCTCAATTCCCCAATAAAAAGACGCAGACTATCAGACTGGATACACAAACAAGACCCAGAATTTGGCTGCATACAAGAAACACACCTCAGTGACAAAGACAGACACTACCTCAGAATAAAAGGGTGGAAAACAATTTTCCAAGCCAATGGTCCCAAGAAACAAGCTGGAGTAGCCATTCTAATATCAAATAAAATTGACTTTCATCCAAAATT